TGACACCAGGCACGGGGTGGGTGCGTCTCCTCTTCCCACCCAAAGCCCTCCAGTACTTCTTGCACATCAGTGGCTGAGAAGGAGGAGGGCCTGGATGAACCCCAGTATACCCTCTTTGCCCCAGCACGATCCCTCCATTACCAATTTATGTCATACTCTTATTAATGCTGTATATTTATTTGGTTTATTTCAAGCTGTGCAGTTTCTCCCTGTCATCTGTTGGGGACCATCTTTCCCTTCTACGCTCAAGCTGTGCCATTCTGCTTCTGCTGCAAAAACACTCTCCTTTTTCACCTCTTCTCCCCTAAGTATGGCTGTCTTTCCCCCTACACACACCCTTTTACTCCACAAACCCACCCTGATTCACTCAGAGCGGGGCATGGACAAAGGTGCACACTGTGGGTTGGAGTGGAAATGTGAGACCTTGAAACCGAAACTGGACAAAATCCTGAAGCGCAGACCACAGGGGCTGGTCCTGTCCACAGCATATGTGGTTTGTGTGCAACTTGTCAGCAGAAGCACGCTCAGACTGAAGCCCTGAAGCTCAGCATCAGAGGTATTACAAACCCTGCTGCACGTGGGAATGATGAGGTCTTTACACATTTTCCTGTGGGAAAAAGCCTGGTCTACCTGTACTTAACAGCAGAAACCCCACTGATTCCAGTGGATCTCAGATCCCATCCTTTCTAGCACCCTAATCTTGGGATTGCTGGATTTTCTGGGCACATGCTACTTACGTCTGTGACGTTCACCACCCCGATCTGTGGTCTGAACAGGTCAATCTTGAAGGTCTTCTCCCAGTAAGTGATCAGCTGCAGGAGTGAGAAACAATGCTCAAAGTGTGTTTCCAATACCTCATTGCATCAATTCAGCCAGCCGGGCTGCAGTGTGGGGAGCATGCATCGATGAGTGTGTGGGAGAGAGGAGAGGCTGAACACAAGCTTGGGCTGCCACACACAGCAAAGGAGGGTGATGACTTTGGGCATGTTCCTAAGACACACCTTGATGGGAGGCAGACCTGAACGAGCAGCTCGCAGGGATCGCCCATGGTCCGGTTTCCTGTCCTTCCCTGTCCCAAATTCCCCGGGGCAATTCCTGCGCTTGTGCACACACACACATACCCCCACATCCATGAATTAAACCAAGAAAGGCAAAGAGCCCCTGCCACTCACCAGAGGAAAGTCGTCGGGGTCAATCCAGACAATACTCAGGTCGGGATTATCGGTGTTGTCCCTGGCAACCTGCTTCAGGATTTCCAGGAACTCAAAACCATCTGAAATGATATACGAACTGCTGCAGCTCTCTCCTGCAAACACGCAGGCACTTTTTGCTTGTGGGGTTTTCAACTTCCCTCGCCCCCCTATGCATAAAGGCATTGTTTATAGTTCTCATTAAAATGCTGTCTCCCAGCTCTTTCTTCTGATAATAAGGCTTTTAATTTCAAGCATCCTCCCCGGGTATTGAAATTAGTTACACATGAATTAAGTCTCGTAATCCTTCCATGGAGTGGAACAATGTCACTATTTTCTTGTGGCGAGAGAGGAACTGAGCTCCCGAGAGGCCAAAGCTTTTCGGCATGCTGATGGCGCTGGGAAACACCAATGCCACGGCTTTTCAGGAGCTGATGCCCATGGGTTTCTCGCATGCCCATCACACACCTAGCCCTCAGCACTTTCCCGGAGCCACACAGCAAGATGGATGCAGAGTTACAGAGCAAATCCTGGCACTGAGATGGAGGGGTTGACTTTTTTTCCCCAGCCAGCCCTATGTTTATATCCAGAATTTGAATCCCAGTTAGCACACTGGTTAGTGTAAACACTCAGAAGCATCCCAACTCCCCATCCCAGCAGGCTGGGGCTCCACATCCCAGCCAGGGCATGGGGCTCAAAATGCAAACAAAGCACATGAAACTACTCTTTCTTGAGTGGTGGAGAGTCATACAAGGAGGAAAACAGCCTCCTACCTGGGTCGTCTTCTTCAGCGAAGGCCACAATGTGGATTCCTTCCATGTCATCCTCCTGGAAATAACAAAATACTACTGATGGGCCAGGGAGGGAGGACAGAGCCCAGGTGGTTGCTGGAGACGAGGAGCGGTGGGATGTCTTCAAACGAACAGGACGATTGCAAAGGAAGGCTTGACTGGAGCCCCACCACAACAAAAGAAATGGGAGCTGAGGCAAGGCTGAGTTGTGGAGATATTAGGCGTTGAAGTGGGTAGTTTTGGTAGCATTGCTGAAACCCTTCAGCTAAAAATGAGATGGGCACTATGATGGCAAAGGCAAGGGAGGTTCTGATGGTGTGGGGCAAAACCTTGCCTGTGGAGAAGGTCAAGGGCTCTCTAGTATGGGAATATGGGCTCATCCTTCATGCCTGAGGCCACCTACCCTCCTAAATTTGCAACTGTCAGGGGATGGTTTGCAGGGAAAAAAATAACTACCTACTGCTCAGCCCCCAAACATGCTCCTTTGGGGCTATCAAAGGAGGTTTCCTCACAATATGAGAGGCAAGGTAGCTCACTTGGGCCCCTTTTGGGAGGCGAAGGGTCCCGGCTCTAGGTGAAGGTTTCTGTGAGTGGTGAGTTGAGTGGGAGGCTCATTTCGGGGCTCCAGTGAGTAGAGGACAGAAATGATGGCCTGGTGGACTGCTTTTCTCCATGAGACACGTGAGTAATGGCTAATGATATTGGCAAAGGCCAATGGATCTGCTGGCCAGTTCATCATCTGCCTGCTATGAATGTCATCTCTGAATTATTCCACGGATTGGATTCGCCTTCCTCATCCACTGACGGTCCCGGTTTCCATTTCAATTGGTTTTAATGCAAGAAAAAATTCCCATCTAAATGCTAATTTCTTTTCCCTTTTGAGCCCAGAGGTGACAAAGCCACCATCAAAAACTGAAAGGAAAAAAAAAAACCCTGAAAGATTAAGTGGAAAACATTATCTTTAAAAACAATGGTGGATGCTGGGCCTTTGCTGGCGTCTTCAGGGAATACATTTTCACCGGGGCATTCTAGGCAGATTTATTTGGGATTCAGACCACTTACAACTGGCAAAATCTACACTGTTGCTTTTTCTCTATATTTGCCAGCAGCATTGTCGGACAGCAAAATTAAAAAAAAAAATATATATATATACGTGATATATAATAATATATATAGCTATATAATATAGTGCTATTCTGACCTTCAAGGCAGCAAACAAAACTGGAGTAACTCCAGTGAAGGCATTGAGGATGTCCTGAACTTGCAGCGAGATCAGAATCCAGCCTGTTGTCTCCTGTAGGTACGAACACCCTGCTCGTAGTGGAGGCAAGCTCTGTATTCCCAGGCTGCTGGTAAAGCGAACATCCCACCGCTGACAATTCACACTTTTCCTGAGGTTATTTTAGAATATGTTCAGCATGAAAGCAAAACCACTGCATATGAAATTTGGGTCCCACTGAAGCCCCAGGAAAAACCTTCGAGGAACTTCAGTGGACCTAGGAAGCTATCTTCTATACAGAATATGTATTTCAAAACAAAATGAAAAGCTATCATGCCTAAGTGACTCATAACTCCTGGTTCAGTTTTATTACCCCTCGCCTTGTTGTATTAAAGACTCCCAAGGTTTTTGGGCCTTCAAAGTCCCACAGCATTTCATATTACACGGCCAAGCAAGCAGGCAACTGAATGACATTACAAATATGCCGAGCTTTTTGGAGGAATGACTGCATCTTCCTTAGTGCCTGTAAAGCACCTGTTCAGCTTTGTTTTTCAGTGTTCAGCTGGCGCTTGAAGGTCCCTGACTGGCTATTAACATTGTACTTATTCACAGCAAAGGGAAAATTTGTTATACGCGATTTTTCTTTCATTTTCACCCTTCTCTTCCTCACTGTTGCAGATCAGGAGAGTCCCGATTTTTCTTTCATTTTCACCCTTCTCTTCCCCACTGCTGCAGATCAGGAGAGTCTTCTCTGTGTGATCAGTGCCAAACTGCTGGTTAGTTCTTCACAATCGCTGACTTGCGGCTTGCTCACACTGTGAGAAGTGCAATCAATGCAGCATTTGCTCCTTAATCTATATAATTAACTGAACTGCCTGCCCTCACTTGCATTTTGAATTGTACAACTGCTCTGGTACAATTTCCATGAGTCATCTGTCCAGTACAATCTCCATAGTTTGCCCAGTGAGCAGGCCACGGAAATCACCCTACCACCAGCAGCAACGACCATTAGATGAGACAGAGCACCCTTCCATAGCTGTATCGTGGCTACTACAGAGGCTCCACACCTGCCTGGCGCACTTGGTTAGCTTTCCCTGTTCCCTCTATGGAGCAAATGGGACTCAGCTCAGGTGTCCACCACTGTTGAGCAAAGCATTTGAGCAAAGCATTTGAACTCAGGCACTGGGCATGACAGTCAAGGCTTTCCCTTCTTCGCAGAGGAGGGAAAGTGGCTTTGAAGGAAAGGAAAGATAATGTTTTGCCCAGCCAGAGGCTGGAGCTCTTGAGCAGCAGTTTATTGTTGGAAGCTAGCAGGGGATGCAAGGCTTCCCACCCACACGTGCTTACCCATGTCTCAAACATGTCCTCCGGGCGCAGCTTCCGCAAGGTGGCCCTGAAGGGAAGACAGAAACGCTCTTTGAGAATGTGTCCAGAACTGTCATACGTGATGCTGACAGTCTTGTGGAAAAGGTCACCGTGGCACATTTGATTGGTGGCTGGAGTCAGTGCTGTCGGCCCCCACGTTTTGAATGCAAGTACAGGGGCACAGTAGGTCAACTTATGCTTTTATTTATGGTGATAAAACCCTGCCCTTGCCCCCACTACAGTCATTGCAGACGCTATTTATGCTTTGGAAGATGAGATGCCTCTCTATGCTGGGATGTGCTGGTGAATTAGTCCCACACATGGCAGATTGTTCTGTCTGTGCTGAGAGCATGAGGTGACCCATTCACTTCTGTCTTGCAGTCCCTGGGACATTCCTAATGGGCTTTGTTCCCCTTTTCTCCTGGTTTTACCCCAGCATAATTCCACCACAAAAATCCTTCCGAACACTACTGAAGCGAAGACAGAATAACATCTGGGAAGAAAAATTTAGATCTTAATAACCACTGGCAAGAAAATTTAAACCATAAGACTGGCTAAAGCAATTTTTTTTTTTTGAGAAATAGGTCCTAAAGTACAAAAAAAAAATTAATAGTAAATATTTTCAAACACATCTGTAACACCAAGCCTGTCAGAGAGCCTGGCAGGCTGAGAGGTGACTGGGGTGTTAAAGGGGAACCCAAGGAACACAAGGCCACAGCAGACAAGCACAAGTAATCCTTTGCACCTCTGCTTGCTGTGGCATCAGGTGTTCAGGGAGGTTCCCCCAGCAGAGACGGTCTCCCTGGCTGACCAGCTCTGGGGGCTGCTGCAAAGAGAAGTGTTGGTCGATGAGGTCTTAGAACAGATCGGTAAAGGGAGTAACAGCATGTTGCCAGAACCAGTTGGCATCAATGAAATGTGTAACCTATTGCTCCAGCTAGCCTCGCTACCAGAGCAGTGGAAACAAAAAGCATTTTTTAGAGGTTCCTAAATGACCTGAGGAGCTACAGATCTGGAAGGGCAACTTCCTTATGGGCACAATGCTACCAGCAAAAGTAGAGTTAACAGGCATTTGAAGGAATATGACATGATAGCACAAGAGATGTATGGCCTTTAAGAGGAAAGTCAGGGCCATGGTTCTACTGGAGTTCCTAGAGCAAGTCAACGAGTGGGTGAAGGTATGCTGGTCAGTGCAATGAGTTGCTTTCAGAGGACCATTGGATAAGATCTCTTACTAAAGGTTCTCAGAGAAACTGAGATGCAGTTAGATCAGAGGGGTGGTCCTCCTGTGGATTAAGGACATTGGAAAATGAAGGGTGGATAGGAATTAGCAGTTTTCATGAGAGAGAGAATTAACCAATTAAGATTCATAGCATATGCTTTGGCGTTATCATATGCATAACATATTCTCACCTGGTCTGATAAAGGTGGGAAATAGGAGTATGGCAGCATTTGCTTATCATATCCAATTCTTTGATGACAAACACAGGCCTGACTATGAGGAGATACAGAGGGAACTCCTGAGACTGAGTGTCTGCATGTAGAAAGTAACACACTCGCAGAAAACCAACCCTGACTATACAGGTGCAACAGTGGGTTCTAAATTAGTTATAACTGATTATTGCCTCTCAGGAAAGGGGCCCAGGTGTCACAAATTGAGAAAGCAGCAGCTCCAAAGGCAAAAAGAAAGTTACAAACAGCTGGGAAAGGACTAAGGAGCAAAACACCTCATACCGTTATGGCAACAGACAGCTATGCTATGCACCTCCTTAGTGAATGTATGTGTGATTCTGGTCATCCCATCACAGAAATGATATGGAATAACTGAAAAAGGGACATGGGAACATGGCAGGGGTGAACGAAGGTATGGAACGATCTCTGTTTGGTGGAGATCAAACAGATAAGAACTCTTTATCTTGTAAAAGAGGTGACTGAAGAGGGATTTGGCAGAGGGTCTGAAAAATTTGGAATGGTTAAAAAAAAAATGAATCAGAGAATGGCTATTCATTGTTCCTCTTATCACAAGAGCTAGTAGGCGCACAGCAAAATTATTAGGTAGCAGGTATCAACTGAACAAATAGGAATGCTCTTTTGATGCAATGCATAATTCAGCTGCTGAACTCATTACAGATGGATACTTTCAGCATCAAAATAGAAATGAGATAAAAAAACAACTATAGAGATTGAAGAAGTAGCCATTAAGCACAAGATCAGGCATACAATTTTTGACCCAGCAAGTCTCCTCATTGCTGATTGTCAGAAACTGGAGATTATATCAGGTGAATACATATTATGTGCTTATGCATACTTGTAGCCAGCTCTCAAGATGCTTTCCCTAGCTGTTCTCTGGGGGCAGCTCTTGGAGAAAGGAAACGTGGTGGGAAGGATTTGATTGCACCCACATATACTGATTCCTGTGGAGTTACTCCAGATTTACTCTGGTTACTTCCCTATGCTGGAAGGAGCGGGGTAAGTTGGGTTTAGGTGAGTATGGGGGAGAAGAATTC